CTTATTCTGCGATGCCTGCATCACACAGTATGCCTTCTGCTTCTTCAAAATACTCATTTTCTTCCACTCTAGCCTTTTTTCGTTGTGTCCAGGCCTCTTTTAAAGATTCTCCGCTCAAACGATTGGTTGAGCGCGGTTACTAACGTAATTGACTGCGATAGGGCTAAGTTTTATCCCCAAAACGAGCATTATTTTCAGTATTAGATCAAAACCTTCGTTGAATATACAAGCTGCCAATTTACAAGCTATTTCAACAATTTTTTTACCATTAAATAGGTGTTTAGGCACCATAGCCCAAACGCATTTGTTGAAGCACTCATTATTATTTTAAATGTGTGGCCACCTAAACATCTTTCAAGTAATTCTGTTTTTGTCAGGTCAACATCAACCTTTTGTTTTTTGCWGHTAWATTCATGCAGAGACATTTCCACTTACACCATCGCAGATGGTTTGTCTCCTCTATCTGTAATATCTCTATGTGTTTGGGTCGCAAAATAATATACTTAAACTACTCGGATCGTTCTAAAATTTTTGTATGATAATTCTACATATGTCTACTTTCGAAAAATGCACAAAAAAAAATGATTTTCTCAAAATGATAAACCAGAATGAACCCTTAAGGGGTGAAATAAAATATAGAAGAGCGTTTTTTTTTTCTTCTTCTTATCGGTTCCTGTATTTGGTGTCTTGGGTTCCCTATAATTCTTACATGGCGCTTACGTGATACATGTAACGGTTCCCTGCGTTCGGCAATTCAAACGCGTATAATTCGATTGAAGCCAACTCGATAATCGTTCTTCTTGACGAGGGGTCTCAAATTCTTCTCGCTCGTGTCTCTCTCCTTTGCATTCACGTTTCTTTTCGTCAAAAAACAAATATATATATAAAAGAAAAGCATGTTCCTTCTATCGGAATTTGTTTTATGCTTCATTAATTATTATATGTATGTGTTAAGTGGATTAATTTCATTACAAATGATATTATATACCGTGGGCTTTCTATATGCATTCTACATGCATTCTACGTGCATTCTATGCATTCTATGCATTCATCGTGTAATTAAATTTTGAAAACTGGTAACGTTAGTGTATTTGTATTCGTGTTCGAATATTGATTTTACATTTCAACTGACTACCTACTATTAATATTCTATTAATTTCATCTCAACAGTAAGTAGAATAGTTTAATAGCAAAATCATGTTGTTATTCTAATCACTGTATGGTAAGTCAATTTTCAAAGATAATCAATTTCGAAATGTAATTTTCTATTTAATGGGATATTTCTTATTCTGATGGTAAAATGTACTATACGTCAGTTACTAATTTTCAAAGTTTTATAGAAAAATAAATGAATGGAAGAGGTAGTACCACTGATGTTACTCGATATTCTTTTCAATTTAAAAACTTTTCTTTCAGTAGCTATCAGCGATGTATCCTCTTCGAAAAGAGTTGGAAAAAAAAAGTTAACAATTTTTAACGAGCCATCGGAGAAAAAGAAAGTCTATCTCTTTTTTGCGTTGGTCCGCATATTCTATGTTTAGAATAGTCCAAGGCAAAGTTAGCGATGAAGGAAATATTATTTCTTTTTTCAACAAGAAAGATAATAAAATTGCAATAATCCTACAAGAGGAAATTTGTATAATAACATTTCTGGAATACTTCTGTCTAATACTTCTGTCTAATACTTCTTTAAATTCATTAATTGTACAATTTGGTGAGACGAACATTTGTTGGTTACTGAAGTGATGACAAAGTTTTTCTTTGAAAGTGGCCTAAATCCAATCATTAATGTTAATCTTAAATAAATGCTAATTGGGATGATAAATTGTTGACACCTTTAGAAACTGAAAAACATTGCAACCTCTTAGTTTCCGCCATGGAACGCCATAGAAAGATATTTCATTTCAATAGTTAAAGCAACTAATATTTTCCTAATTGAATAATAAAGAAGAATTTCAATATAAAGGGTGAATAAGATTCGTTTAAAAGAAAGTATCATCGAACTGTTCAAAACTATATCAGAGTTGAAAAAAAAGAAAGTAATAAAGATCTACAATAGCATGAAATTCGATCAATGACTATGACGGTTGAGAGAGAACATGTTTTTAGGTGAAAAACCGCTTTGTAACTGGAGAATAATGCGAGTAACTGTAAACGAGAAGCCTTAGTGTTGTATCTGTAGTAGAATACTTGCGATGGTAGTAGAGTTTGAAGAATCTACTCGACAAATTTCTCAATTTCATAGTTGTCTGTCTTGCACACTAATCTAACCCCGTACACTTTGTTGCTCTTCTTCACCACCCGTAGAAATGTTCATCAAAAACAATATTCGTAGCACTAACAAAATAATATTCATTAATTCAAATGACTTATCATTATTTGTGTGTTTTTTTTTCTTTTTTTTTTTTTAAGAAGAATTCTATATAGATAGATGACATTGATAATGTTAAAAGAAAACGACCATAAAACATTAAACGCTCGTTTGCGAGTTTAATTGTTTGCACAGACGTCGCATGCACATATGGTTTTTTATTTGCATCTTGTTCTATACACGCTATACATAACATACGTTTATTATACACTTGTCTACTACTACTCGTTCATTGTCGCGTTTTTGTCATGACCATCATCGACGAAGAAAAGAATTAAAAAAAATGGGACAAATAAATGATGTCAGTGTATTAATCTTGTGACGTAATCTAGAACGTACTAGGAAGAAGAAGCAAATAATATGCTTTTGGTGTTTAAGAAAAATGACGAAAAGATGATCATAGGCATCTTTATTTTTTTTCTTCTTCTTCTTCATTATCGTAATATTCGAAACGTTCCTTTCAAAGATTATATTCACAGAACTTTATTTACGAAACGTGCCTAAGTGCTTCTCGTGATCGTGCTACCAGATCGACGTTGTTATATCACTTTGCATAATCGATTCGCACGTGTACATGTGCGTGTGCGTGTGCGTGTRTATTCGTGCGAATATAAGGACGCAAACACGCCTACGGGATGAATATTAGCGAATTAATCGTTCAATACGATCGAGATTTATTATATCCTTCGATCTAATTATAATTTCTATTTGCATTTACAGATATATGCAATTACGTAGAATTTTTGTTCTAAGAAAAATATGACTATGTGATATTGATACTTTCGTCTATTATTGGTCCAATAGAATCACTTTGTTATATTATTACTATTAATATTATTATGATTATTATATGCGAACGAAAAAACGAAGAAAGCTTTAGAATTTGATATCTCATAACAACCGGAAATCACGTGAGCTCAAGCTATTTTTAAGCTTGCAAAAGTGGCTAATTTAGAACGTAAGCAAACCACTTGTGATAATATCGATAATAGACAAAAGATAGAACATAAGCATTTTTTGATAATAATCAGGTTAGCACACGAGGAAGTTTCGAGTACACCTTTTTAAATACGTATATTTAAAATATATATAACATACATTTTAATTATATATTATTTATTTATTTATTCGATATGACGACGTGATATACGGGATGAGATTTTTTCGAACGAACATTTCGAGAACAAAAGTTGTACATTATTTTAGGATAAAAATAAAACGAAAGTATTTCAAGGTTAATTATTATTTTTTTTTTTATCTGAATAATTTAAGTTGATATTCTTCCATCCGCCCACCAGAGATATATGTTGTTCTTGATATTCCTATGGTGTCGCATGATTACTCGCAACTCTCTACGCGCTTTATCTACACTTAAAGCCAATCGTGTACTTTTAGAATCCGATCGTTTAAAGGTCATTTCAAAGCGATTCCCTGCCGTAATGAGCGTAATGGAACTTTATGAATAGCGCCTAATCGCGACGAGGAGGACGCAATTGCAGCTGTTCTTCTGCTGTTCGTTCAATACTTTTTTCGTAGTATAATTTTGTACGCTAGTAGAATTACAAAGAAGAAAAAAACTAAAGGAAGGAAGGAAGGAAGGAAGGAAAGAAGGAAGAAAATTCTAGATGATTCGGTAACTTCCGGTTTTGTAATACTCCGAAGGGTAGTTCCCGTTATGATGGCCTACCATGCAGCCTGTTGGACACGCGAACAATTTTCCGACGACAAGAACACCGTTGCAAAGCGACTCCCTCGACGCACGTGTCTCGCCTATTGATAAATCGATAACATTTCTTCAAACGTACATAGAGACACACACACAACACGCACACAAGTATGTGCGCAGGATGCGTGTTTTGAAACATGGTTGCTACGAAACACCCACGACGATCTCGATCTAACGCAAAATAGGTTTCCTTTTCACCCAAGGGTTCTTGACGTCCACGATTATTCTTCAAACAAATAAATTGCCTCACATTTTCTTTCTTCTTTTACAAGTATTAGAATATTAATAATGATATAATAAACAAACCCTGATTCAAATATAAATGGAATTATAGGTTACTTTCAAAATAAACGACTCATTTAAATAATGCAACGGAACATGTCTAATTCCTTGAACAATGTGTGTATGCAATGTGTGGGACAATACGGATTATAATATATTAAATACATAAAACATAAAGTAAGATCTGCACTATTTGTTGTTTCGTAATCCAACAGCTAAATGTCTCGGCACGTTACCCCCATCTTTAGAAATCTTCTATGTTTGATCCAGTTTCGTTAAAAATATTACATATTTTCTATCGATGGGAAATAAACGAAAATTCTTCTCTTAACATTTTACTGACCGCTAGCTTATTAATAGGCTTTTTTGTCGCCAATCGGTAACTTAACTCGGTAACTTAATCGCTTGACACGGCGATGAACAGTCATTGTCATTACATAAAGAATAATTTTTTATTAGAATCTTATTAATATTTGATTAAAATCAGTTATTGTAATCTGTTAGTAGATTCTGTTAGTAGAACGGATGTGGTGCGTATACTGTTTAAAATCTAGCGGTCGATAAAGTGTTACAATTTGAACGTTTTGAATGACTCCACCTATCATATGATTTTATTTATAGGGAAGAAGTTCAGGAGCATACGGTCAGGTGGAACGCAAAGTTCGAGTTCTGTTGTAAAATGAGTGCAAATGCGTCAACTGGTGTTCTCGATCCATGCATCTTAAGGATATCAGTAAGGAAGGTAAGATTTAACACAAATGAATGGTTTAAACAATAGGATTGTTGTAATTCGATTGCGTGTAAAAGTAGCCATTTCGATGGTTGTAGGAATTGAAGGGAGGCAGGTCCTTCCAGAGGCTAGGTTTTACCGACCTGAACCTTGCCGAATTCGCAGGAGCTGGTCTCTGTCGAAGGAGGTGTCTCCTTGAAGGTTATGACGCGAGACATCGTCAAGATAATTCTATGCTGAGAGTAGCCATTAAGATGAACATACGTTCCGGAGATATTCTATTCAAAGTGTGAGTGTCCTCCCAGGCCAACGTGTGTTTTTGCCAAAGACCAAATACCCCAAAGGCCAAAGGACCAAAGGGTTAATCTTTATGACTGTCTTTTACTGTAGACCTTCACCATCGTTAAAACAAACTCAACTAGCAGTTCCCGGTGTCCCCGGTGTGCCAGGAGTTACGGCTGACGAGGTGACCGTTGAAAGATGTAGCAACAGAGAAGATTACGTTTCTAGTGGTTCATTGGCTGGTAGTATAGCTAGTGCGAGCAGTGGTTTCGGTAGTCTTCCCAAGAAAAGGCCAGCACTGTTTTCCTCCGGTAAATATATATGAAAAAGAAGATATCCAAGTTGATATTTAACAATGGTTCGTTTAACGATGGGTTCCTTGTAGAACTTCTCAGTGGTACGGAAACATACGATCCGATGACCCTAAGCGAGATCGTACCTTCGGCAATTCCGGTCGAAGCATTGACAGAAGCGCACACAGAATCGGGTCATTCGAGGAATAGCAGCAATACCAGTCAACTAAGCAAAGGATCTGGATATGGATCCTTAAACTCGCACAGTCAACACAGTAGACAGAGCAGTAGTGGTGACAGTGGCCATATTAGGTAAACATTCCGAATGGACCCAAAGATAACTAATGAAATAGAACAATTATACAATTTTGTAACTTTTTGTTAAGACAGAAATGGGGAAAATTCCAACGAAAACGATAACTAAAATATCCTCTCGGTAGGACATAAGGACGTACATACACATAAAACACGAATACTAATCTGTACAAAATACAAATGCTCGAAAATAATGTTCATTCAAAGCAACATAAACGCAGAAATAACCGCATGGCTGCTCCGAAGAGGGAGAGGGGAGTTTGGATGTTCTTCACGACTTTTTAACGCATTGCCTGCTGGATAACACAATCAATTTTCTATTTTTTTATCTTCTTTTTTCTTTTCTTTTYTTTTCTTTTTTTTCTTTTCTTTGCGCGAAAGATCTCTCGGTGCTATGATATTTCATTTGAACGAAAGTAATATAATTCGTAACAAGATTCGTCATCAAGATTTGTCATCAAGATTTTTCAAAAGGTTTTTCATATCGCTGTACTACGCTTTTACCGACTACTAATAATTCCAACACGGATCTTTAATTGGAATCAAGGGACTTGACTTGAGAAGATCGTACCCTTCGCATTTTTTTCACACTTATGCATATTTTTTAATCAATGACTTTTGTATCTTTTTTCTTCTCATTCGATCTATCTATCAATCTATTTTCCTATCTCTATCTATTGGTTGATTTACTTATCTCTCTTTCTCTCCTCCTCCCTCCCCCCCCCACCTTCCACAAAAAAAGAAGAATCATCAAAATTTAATCAAACCTTAGTTGTTTTAGACAATTGTTCATATTATTTTTTTTTTGTTCTTTATGATTTATGCATGCTTGAAGAAAAAAAGAACAAATTTGTGTTATGATCTTTATAGGTCACCCTCCTGGCCGGTATGGGCACCACGTATCCCGAATTATTCCCAAAATCATCCTCCTAACTATCCTAACATGCGGTCCGAAACATCCTTCGAACCAAGGCCACCGTCGCCAACGTCGTCTTCGATGATGCTCGTTGATCCAAGAACCCGATTCTGGTCCACGTCTAGTCCACTTTCCTCTCGGATCATGAGAAACGGTATGGATAAAAGGAGTACTGCTGGTGCTGTTGCAACAACCACTGCTACAACAACTTCGAGATCGATTTTGAAGATGCCAGAGACGATTATTAATGCCGATAAGGGCAACGAAGTAAACGTTGTCGGGGCAGCTGTTAATCCTAATGTACAATTTGTAAAGAATTTAACCGAATCGAGTTCGCAAACTCGGAACGGAGTTTCCATTGATGAGCATTACGAAGATGCCAACAACGTGTTCAGGGTACCCGGACCCCAAGACGTCCCACGACATTCCCGACAAAATTACGAAAGGGTTAACAGTTTCGAATCACGCAATGAACGTAACAGTATAGGAAGTTTAGGACAACATAACAATATGAACGATCGAGAGGAAATAACCAGTCGGGTGATCTTACCAATCGCAAAACCGAGAATCGGTCAACCAGGGTGGCGTAGCATGTCGAAAACCTGCGATTGTATTGAAAAGAGACAAACTAGCCCAGTTTTACGATTGGTCGATCAGGCCAGGGCCGTATCCTCTCCCGATCCTCTCCATAGGCCTGACAATCCTAGAGCATCCCTACGCTCCGCGACGACGGCTCAAACCCTCAGGTAGGTTTTCTATCGTTCATCATCTCGCGAACATCTATTTATTTTCGATTTTTTTTTTTTTAATATTATTTCCTATAAAATCTATTTCTAAATTTCATTTTTTTGTTTTTGTCTTTTCTTTCTTTCTATCTTCATCATAGTTTTCCATACTATCATCAAGCAACCCCTTCGAGACGATTCTATGAACGAATCAATCATTCGTTTATTTTTTTTTCTTTCTATATTATAATTTAAATTTTTTCTTGAATTATTGTTAGGTGCATATAAATATATATATATTTTCTAAATACAGATGAGAGTTGGAGAAACGTTGCATGTTACGATAATGAAAAATGAATCGATCGATTGATTAAAGGATTTTGATCAGCTGGTTTCCTTTTGTCCTCGCTCTTGCTTTAGTTTCTCCTTTGGGTTTTTGGTTTATTTTTGATAAAGTTAATGAACACGTGTGGTGTAGTACGTCGGCTAACGTTTAACCGAAAGGTGTGAGTAGTGATCCACAAATCTGTTTCCTAAGCGATGTAACAATTTATTTAAGTATTTACAGGGTAAGACATTTTAATCAGAACATCCAAATATCTCCCTTATTTATAGTTTTGTGGGAACAATTTTTAGGACTAAGTTGCAGTATTGCTGGGAAGGGCTAAGTATACGGGTAAGGACATTATTTTTCTCTTATATGAATATATACAATATACTTATAATAATTGTAAAATCACAAATAACGGAGATACTCGAGTGCTCCGATTAAAATGGCGATTAAAATGGCGATTAAAATGGCGATTAAAATGGCGTACCCTGTACACGTATTTATAACTTGCTACATTTATCTTATCAAGCAGACCTTACGAAAGTCGTCTAATTATAGGAAGAACATCCTGCTCCTTTTGTCTACCACGATCAACAATGGTGGTGTAAGATCGGGACCTCAATCATACTTTCATTTGCTTTTTAAAAATACATACATATAACATAAAATAATTGATGTACATACGCACATAAGTCAGTGTTACCATTATCATTATCGTGCTAGCATAAAACATTAACGAGGAAAATACGAAAGAACTATTAATTATTTAAATCGAGTTAAAAGTATGCCTGAATTATTGCTAAACAAATGAAGCAAGTATCGAACAATTGTCTCAATCTAAAAAAAAAAAAATAGGAAGAGAGAGAGAGAGAGAGAGAGAGAAAGAGAGAAAGAGAGAACGCAAGCTTTGCTTACAGTTCTGGATGGCTTTGTGAATCCTTGCAGGGGTATCGGCGGAGGTCACCGGAAGTTGCTGGACGGGGCGGGGGGCAAGCTGGCTACGGTCGCCACCAGCCCAGCGGACTCCGAGGAGTCCTCCTTAGGAGTACCGGAAGTCGCTCCACCAAGCTCGCAACACCGAAACAGCATAACCCCACCGTCAGTCCATGCTTTCGTCTCTTATCTGCATTTTTATCCTTCATTCATGTATACTTTTGTCTTTTGTCTATTATTTGTCATTATCCTTATCGTTTTTGCTTTTTGCTCGCCTTGCACAATTTTAGATAGAACAAGAACACTTTATTGTTTTTCTTCTTCTTCTTTAACAAAATCTTGGAATTGTGTTGCTATAATTTTGACAAAAAGTTTGGATATTTTTCTTTTTTTTTTTGGAAATAAATTTTGGAAGAATCGTGTTCAGGATGCGATGCATTCGGACACATTGATCAGGACAATTTGAGCATCTTCGTTTCTACCATTTTTCATGCACCAACAACCAGCTTTGCTAATTAACGGACACTTGTTGTCATCAATGTTTATCGGCATGAAAATAATCGCACTTGAATGGGATTTATATTCTTTGATTATTCAGCTTCCATGTACAAATCGTTTCCCCGCATCGTCTTATTAGAGAATTACGTATAATTATATATCGAAATCTATATTACGTATATGTGTATACACATGCAATCGTCTCGAATATTACGGCTGCACGATCACTGTTCTTTTCTATCTTACTTATTTTTTCTTGCTATCCGCATCGCGTCGTCTATTCGTCTCGCGTCAGAATATTTCTTTTGATTTTAATTTATGTTAAATCATTAGCGACGATAATAATAATAATAATAATAATAATAATAATAATAATAATAATAATAATTTGAATCTGTCGTACGCGCGAAAATCCTTCACTTTTTAATTATAAATATACAATTAATAGAAAAATAATAATAATAATAATAATAATAATAATAATAATAATAGACGACTGAGAGAAGAATTTGATTTGTCAATAATGATTTGTTTAATCACATATACAGAAACCCTTCAGGAGGTTCGGGTTTAAGCGAAACTGGATCATTGGACCGTGCTAAAGCTGCACTGGAGCGACGGAAAAAAGCCGAAGATGGTACAGGAAATCCTAGCTTGTGCAGGATCGAAGTCACCAGACCTAATCCAGATTCATTGATCGATGAACTGATTAAGGCTACGAATTTGGAACAAACGGATCTCGAAAGTTCTGAGAGTATGATTATAACAATTATTTATTTGATATACACAAACGACGAGCCAACTTTAGTCAAACTTAACCCTCTATGGGCCAGTGTTAATTTCAGGTAACATATGTTAATAAAATAATTGTTGATTTAAAGTTCTAAATAAAGTTTTTTTTTTTATTTAGAACGAAAATTCGGCCCATAGAGGATTAATATTATTTTCAAAATGATGAATGAATTTCAGTTTCCAAATAATACTTGTGTTCACATTGTAAAACAATTAGTAATTTAAAAATATAATTGAGACTTTTCAATAAATATCTAAAAGAACTTAAGCTACTTTTGTACTTTGTTTTTTTGTTTTGTTTACAGCAACCGGTTTGCAGTTGTTCATAGCAAAAGATGGAACAACGGCGTTGGGTAGTCACGAAGTGAAGAGTCAAATGCCCGCGGGTGTGTTCAAGCAGGTGGTGATGGAAGAAAACAATAGGTAACACCAAGCCATCTCGTCGAGGCGACAATACGCTAGGCAGCCCAGCACAACATTCTCATTGGCCTTGGTGCCTGAACTCATCTACGAGGCCTACGAGCCGCGGTAGTCACGTTGGAGAACGACTTGTTGTTGTTGTTCTTGGGGTCGAATAAAAAAAAGAACAAAAACAAAACATGCTGTCTGATCGAACAAATTTATCAGACTACAATCAACAACAAAAACACGATGACACTTCCATCTAGCGAGATTATTTTCTATAAATAATTATTCTTTTTTCTTGTCTCTCAGCAATAAATTAGACGAAGAAGAAAAAACAAGATTTTACGTTATTTTAAAAATCACAGTATTTTTCCTATAATATATACAACTATATATATATATTTATACATATGTATCATTTCGTACAGAAAATATCGTGCGCGTACGTACAATTTTTTGTTTCGTTACAATTATTTATAGTACTGTAGAGAAAAAGATAATGATAATGATGATGGATAAGGGGAAAGATATAAGATTTATCATTATTATTATTATTACTATTATTATTATTATTATTATTATTATTATTATTATTATTGTTAATATAAATATTAATATTAATGTAAGGACGATGACATTTTCTTGCAAGATGGAAGGAATTCGTGAATATTACAAAAGGAAATAAAATAAAATAGAAAAAAGAAAGAGAGAGAGAGAGAGAGAGAGAGAGAGAGAGAGTAAGAGAAAAAGACGTATATTATGGTAAAGAAAGAATGAATGAATGAATGAAAAACAATAATTCAAAGATATACACATATTTTCTTCCGTGAAACTGAAGCACAATTGATACATACATATATATGTATATAATTCTCGTCGGACCGGTCGTGCTTCATGCGCGCGTGAAGCTTTAGTCAATACTATTTTAGACGAGAGACTACGATGTCGTGATAATAAAATCAACATATTAGTTTTAAGGATAAAATTATTGACAACACGAAATCAAGGGGATTATAACAACGGTAATTTGATTGATAATACTGAACGAGGCCCTACGACATTTCGACTAATCTTTATTTTTAATTATTATTATTATTATTAATATAAATATTATTATTATTATTATTATTATTATTATTATTATTATTATTATTATTATTATTATTTTTATTAATAATATTATTATTGTTGTTATTATTATTTTTTTTTTTATTATTATTATTGAATACTGTAAAGGGGACTCATAATTCGTTTTAAGTAAAAGCAGAAAATTAGATCCGTGAATATAACGTATATTTTTGGAACTCATTTAATTAGATTTTTAATTTAATGTGATTGAAATAAATCGTAGATTTTCCTTACAAGCTTTGCAAATTGTATATCCTGAGATTTTGTGATCGATGAAAATATTATTTAGTTTTGGAAAACTAGTACTCCGTCTTACAGTAACTCATTCGACGTTTATTTTCCTCACCCCTGAAAAAAAAAAAAGAAAAGATTGATGACACAATTCTTAAACGTTCTTGGAAAAAAAAACCAATCGAATCAAATGAAATCTAATCTAATAATCATTTCCACAAAAAAAAAAAAGAAAAAAAGACTTTGTATATAAATGGATGGAGGCTAACGACTCCCTCGTCGTCGTTCATCGAACATTTTCTCGCGGAAAAGGAAATGACGTAAATAATAATAAATTAGGAAAAACAATATATTGCCTGTTAAGAAAAAAAAAAGAGAAAAATGAAAAATCCCTTTTCGTGCGGTTTGATTTGATTAAAAAAAAAAAAAAAAATACCGGTTCATTGTCAGATTTGTTTTAGCAAACACTTGTACATATAGTAATTAGTAATTGTTACATAGATAAATGGCTGGTGTTATATAAAAAAAAAAAATACTTTTTCTCCGTAACTAACACATCCACACATAGAGACAACACCAACAAACGCATACAAACACAACGTAATAATCTATAAGCGATAGGATGTCTTATTGAAAAGAAAAAAAAACACGACGAAGCAAACAAGTGCTGTTTCAAGGTTTTGTCTGAACAATTAACAAGAACAAATAAAAACTATCAGGATAAAAAACTATATAACGCTTACATAAAGTGTGTTTGTAAATGTTACGGTCAATGTAATTTAATATTATTTTGTCAGAGAAAGAGAAAGAGAGAATTGTTTCAGGGTTGCGTCAGAAATGAACGTGGCGAAGGGAGATGAGATGGGGTAAAAGTGCCCAAAATACATACATTGACCATAATATTATATATATATAATTATTTAATATATTATATTTAATATAATTTTCCTCCCACTAATTTATATATATATATATGAATTCAATTAAAATTGAATTTCAAAGCCTCCCTCCCCGTATAATTTTGTTTATATCTAGAAATATCTCTTTCTTTTTTATTAAAAAAAAAAACTCTTTAACAATGGAATATTAATTATGGAATTTCAAAGTCCTCTGTTTTTGCTGTTTTTGCTCATGGGATAATTCACTGCTGATATATATGTTTGCAAGGAAAATTGCAATATTTCAATCGCTTAACATTTGTTATCAAATTTGGAAAGAAATCGATTGCTCGTTTCAATTTTTAAATTCGAAAGTATTTTCAAATTATTTTTCTTTGAATCGATTCGTGAAAGATAATTATAAAGGAAGAAGAATTGAAATCAAAAAAATTAATGAATGATCAATCATAAATTCGTGCGAATAAAGAAAAGAGAGAAAAATAATAATAATAATTAATAAAAAAAAAAGATGTGAAATAGAAAAGAAAAAGATGCGAATAAAAAAAATAAATCGAGATAAACGTTCTAGCAGACGTTCGATTGCGATTATGATAATGATGACGATGAGATAAAGATGAAGGTGATGATGACAATGGTGGTATATTCTCGCGCCTTATCACGCTTTTTAATCGTGATATTGTAACATACAATAAATTCACACAATAATCGTATATACTTTGTTAGTCGGAATTCCTTTTTTTTCTTCATCTCTCGTCGTCTATTTGAATGAACTTTTATATATTTATACATTATTTTTCCTTCTCTTTTCCACCTATTTATTCTATTACGATACTCAAACACACCCTTCGAACATATTATCTTCTTCAATTACTTCTTCAATATACGAAATGTACTCTTTCTCAATCTTTAGGGAGTTTTATTTTTTTTCTGCTTTATTTCTAATAATATACGACGAGGGTGTAGAATGATATTATTATTATTATTATTATTATTATTATTATTGTTATTATTACTTCTACTACTATTACTACTACTACTACTACTACTACTATTACTATTACTACTATTACTACTACTATTATTGTAATTATTATTATTTTATTCTTTGTTGCTACGATGTAGCGAAATTTGAGTCACGCAAACCTTTTCGCGCGAGGAAATGAAAAGAATTATAGTAAAAAAGAAAAAAAAAAGAAAATAGAGAAAGAGAGAATGTGTACGCAAGTGTCATGATACGCGTGATGTATCCTTTAAAAAAAGTCAACAAGAGTACAGAGAGAGAGAGGGGGAATAAAATGTGTGCATTTCCTCGCGAAGTAGTAATGTACAAAAATGGTATATAAAGAAAAAAAAAAAACAAGAAAAAAGCAAAGAAACAATTGCGATGATAAAGCGTAAATAATGCCACGTTAAACTTTTTTGCGCCTTGCCTCCCTCGCCCCGTCGGATATTAATTATTGTGATATTTTATGATAATGTATAATAATAGCCCGCTCTATATTTCCTTTGTATTATTATTATTATTATTATTATTATTATTATTATTATTATAAATTATGTTTTTTTTACTATGAAAAAAAAAAGAAAAACTCGAGTGGCCAGAATTTTCGTCCTTTTTCCTTCCCACCCCCTATTACCAATCTTCCTTCACTCCACCCTTATCAACTTTGACTCATCGTATATTCATTTTTGAATCAACCTTTCGTTGGGTCAATTGTTGAATTTTCTAATTGTTTTTTTTGTGTCCGTTCTTTTTCGTTCTTCGCGAGATGCGGATGTAAAACTTCCATAATATGTGCTGATGATAATAACACATTTGAAAATCAATATCTCATTTTCACCTTTTACTATTTTCTTAACCCCACTCCTCCTTTCCCCCTTCACTCTCCTCCCACCCTTTTAAGTACAAAATCCAACTATTTTTAGATAACATAAGAAAAAATGGAAAAATAAAAATATATTCAAGGATAATGACGAGTCATGAATAAGTCACACATTAAAATCGATGATCGAACTTGTAAGATTACGATTATGCAATCGGATGCATTTCTATTTTTATTTAAATGTCAACATTGTTTATTTTCTTTTTTTTTCTTATAATTATTCATATTATGAACTCTATCGTAAATAAAAGTGAAACTCGTGAGAGAAATGAGAAAAGTATACTTAAATTGCGTTATTGAAAAAGAGAATACAAAGTACACATACAAACGTGACCAACGGTTCGCGTGTTCAGTTATGCACTCAAATAACTGTTTGATCCTTGTTAAACTTGCAACGATCTAGAAGTGCTGATCCGTTAAATTCAATAATATTATTTATGTTAATTGGAAAGAGAAAAGGACTTTCTCTAGATACATTTTAAAAATGATCATTGCTATATGACATAACATTCGTTTCAGGAGATACAGATAGATATATATATATATTTTACATATTATATTTACATATATACAAATACGCATTACATTGTAAAGTGCTATTACGCTAACGCTTTCATGGTACAATATTATTTGCAACTACTTGCGATATCTATCGATGGAATATTTTATAAGGAAGTTAAAGTTTTACTATATTTACAAAAAAAAAAGAAAAAAAAACACGCGTGTTCAATGTGTAGCTGATACGATTGAAAGATTTAAAAGTTATTTATAGTTTAATAAGATAATTAAATCACTAAACTTTGTCGTAAGAATCGTTTATCTTGCAATTAATTCCTCTGATATTTGTATAGATATAGAAAGTACAATGCGAAATATTACCAAAGTTACAAAAATAATTTACAACACCAATTTTATACGTTTTTACAAACGTATCCTGCCCTGTCGCCGCCTTCTTATCTCGTTTTCTTTTCGAGTATAATTCTTCTCATTAAAAGTTGTTGTTTTTATTGTGATCGCGAAAAAAAAGGTTCGTTCATTCTTTAAATAAAAATCATTGTTAGTAAAACGTTAGTTAAGTCATCATATAGAAAAATAAAATAATTGGATATTAAATAAACATTTTAATCAGTTTCTTTTTAATGCCAATCAAACTGGAGAATAATAATATAATATTAGAAGCAAACGTAATGTATTTTTGAATTGCAAATTACTACGATCGTATATCTCTGATCAATCGGAAGTGTTTTACCATATAAATAATGGAAGAAAATTGTATAATATATAGATGAAGGAAAAGAAATGGAGGTGAAACAAATAGGTGCGTTATATTACATAAGGAACGTACATGCGTATTGTGAAATACTAGCAAACAGACAATTATATTTTATATTCCTTTTCTTTGAACATTCTTTTTACATTGATCATAAAGAAGATGGCACGTATTGCAAGAAACAACAACAAAAAAAACTTTTATATTGGTTTTTCTTTTGTTTCAATAACTTACGATCAAATATTATGACGACGATAATATTAACATTCCGTTCGTACTTTTCTTTTTTCGCTAGAACAAAGATCCTTATATTTCTTGGAAAAAAAGATGCGTTGCTGACTAAAATTAAATATATATCTGCAAATTTACGTTGAAGGAAAGAACAATGATTCGACAAAATTCATCGACAAAGGAAGACAAAATCCTTTTATCTAATTATTCTTCTCGGGCCGAAAACTAAACGTAGATTCGAGATAGTTGCAACCACAAATTATACACAAATGATTGTTTCTACTTAAATAATATGTTCATGATGAGGAAGTATTTGAACGAATAATACCGGGCGAAAGTTTTCGCGTTTGGAGACTATACTTCAATGTATATATCTTTTATTCGAAATAAAATCGTATAGAGTGAATCTCGGGGAAAAAGCTTTTTTTTATATATTCTCGATAGATGATAATAATATTCATCGAATTTGGATATAGTTGCTCGCATTTGAAATCTGACACATTACAGAATGAAGAAAATAGAAAAGTTAAGTTATTCGAGTTGCATGAACGTTGATTGGTACACTATTAAATGGGAAAAGTATTCCCTTGAGGCGTCACGATAGATGCTTGTAGTCGTCAACGGTGGTCCTAAGTAATGGTGCCAATGGTGGCAATGCTGCTGGTAGTGGTGATGGTGCTGATAGTGGTGATGGTGCTTATAGTGGGGATGAATATTTAAAAAGACAAGCAACGACACATAATCAAACATCGGTTGCATTTCACTTGGATTCTGCTATTACTTTTCATCAAGTGCAAGTAGTTCTTTCACATTCATCCGGAATTTTTCGGAATTATTCGTCGTCAAGTATAATTCGAGTATAATTTTATTTGTTTAATCAATTTATTTATTTACCTTTTGTCATTGTTTTATTTATTTCATTTCATCCTGCGAACTTCTCGCATCGTTCAAGTAGAAAAAAGGATCAAATACCTCACAATAAGCCTAGGATGAATCTTCTTCCAAGAAAGAAAATATAGAAACGATCAAGAGAAGGAAAATCTCAAATTTGTCGTCTATTTCCTCTTTGATTTTTTTTTTCTTTTTCCTTTTTCTTATTTCCAGGTGAGCAATGATTTTATTTTTTCTCAATATTAGATTTAATAACATAATGTACGATCTGCGATGTTATTTTACAATTTTATATTAACTATTACAAACAAATTATTTCAAAGGTGTCTCCATTAAAATAGCTTCATTATTAAATCATAATATAAATATAGAAAGAGAAAATATTCAGGAAAGTAAAAAGTAATAGCCATAAATAGTGATCATTACTATGATTGAAATAAGACCACCCTTTTATAGAACATTTAATAATAATTTAGTAAGAAAAAAATGTTAAGTATTATTAATCGTTCAATGACTCAATCTCAGGTACCACTTAATATTGTTCAGCAATCTTTCGATGAATCCAACATAAAAACTGAAGTGGTTTCTCCGAAAAAAGAAAAAAAGTAGTGTGCTCTCATAAACTCAAGTTGTCGACGAGTATCATCCTATCGATAAAAGTGAACAAAATAAGAAACGAAAATGGCACATACAGGGTTCCTGTTGCTCGCATATCTCACACCCTTTTCTATCTTTCTTAATTATGGTTCGGCAAATGAAATGAAACAATTCAAAATAAGTACGATGCCAGTTTATGCTATGTTGTCAAACGCAGATCTATTAAATTCGACCCAATGCGGCAAAGAACTGAAGGATTTTCGAGAAGCAATTGATCAAAAACTACTGTGGGGTCTAAAAGGTTAGTAAAACATACCACAAATCCCTCTCTATATTATTATTAATAATTAAATGTTTAAATAACCATTAATAAATTCTACAATCATTTGCAAATTCTCCCTTACAATCTTCATTAATTTCATATGAACACCTTCGTAGCAACAATCCTTTCAAAGAGAATTGCGTTTATTCCAAATTATCTTGAAATTACTTTCGAAGGTATCCGGAAAAGGACAAATATCTGTAGTTGTTAATTAAAACGAATCGCATTATTTTGTAATTCTCTTTATAGTTGAACAAAATGTTTACAGTTAGAATGATGAAATAAACTAGTCAAACTACTTATTTCGTAATCCAACTCTTAAGGGTAATAGTAGTTGTTTTTCCTTTCTCTTATGGGAAGAAAAAAAAGGAGACAAAACAAATTATATTACCAATTTGGCCTATTTTCAGTATTTCCGTATAAAATTATAATTCAAATTGAATATAAAATGGCAACCGCATTTAAAATTCGGTAGATAAGTAAGTACGGTTGTCTATTTAAAAGCCTGAATTGAAGGCTAATGAAAATGAGTTTCGATCAACGAAACGTAACAACATTTCTCTTTTCTTTTTTGATGAAGTAATCGATGCAAGCGGTAAGCCAATGTCAGGATTTATTTATGGAAATAATTATTGGTTGGGTAGTAGAAGCCAATGCGAAGATGCAAACAACAAAAATCCCTTCCTGTTATCGAAAACAGAATTACGAAACAATTCGAGATATCGTCGCATCGAGGATGAATTTCCACCTTACAAAGTGAAATATTTTGTCGCTAATTTTCGACACAATAGCACTTTACAATACCACGTCGTATTACCCGCAGAAGTAAGTGAAAGAATTAAAAATGAACGAATTTATTGAATAATTCAATGAAAAATCTTCTTTCCATTTTTCTATAGGATATGATGATACTCGGCATGTGTTTACCCGCTTCATGTTTAAAGGATCAACTTTCAATTCTTCTCCAAACCATATTCAGGAATAGAACTCTTTTAATAGGTCAACTATATTCAGCCGATTTTACATTAGTTGAAGTCAAAGATTTAATCAATGATAATCGATGGCTATTGAATGAAACATTTATTACAATGACGTATGCCAATATAATTATTATATACACTCGTAAAACATAGAATACAATTGTATCGATTTTATTTGTTCCTTTTTCAGTATATTAGTGCTACTCACGTTCCTATTAATGATAATAGGAACGGCCTATGACGTTCTAATATATCAAAGACGTTTGAAGAAATATTACAAATATTTTCAAGCTTCTACAAATATTAATTCTCTAACGATTGGTAAGTACATCCCAAAATATCATATCAACTTTTTCTTGGAATATTCTTTAGTGATTGATTACGCGTGTAACAGTATTAACAGTTCATATTTTCATTTTTCTCATATAAAGAAGAAACGTTAAACGAGGATGTAGAAAAAAATAGGATGGAAGAATTGAAATCTCAGAATTTTCTTTGTAGGGTATTCCAAGCTTTTTCCGTATACTCCAATTCGAAAATAATATTTAATTATAAAACTGGAGAAAATTCTTTACCGATTGTACACGGATTAAGATTCCTTACGATGGGATGGATTATTATGGCACATACTCCTCTTTATACGAAAGATTATTATGGTAAAGTAACGACATAATTATAATTTAATTGTGAATTTACTTTATACAATTACATTTATCTTGGATTTCTCTTTCTCTATCTATTTCTCTCTCTCTTTCTTTCTCTATGATCGATCAAAGACAATAAGCCGATAGGTTGGAGACTGTCGGAGGGTTTCTTTGCCCAATTGTTAACCAACGCGTCCACCTCGGTTGATACTTTTTTTTTTCTCAGTGGACTTTTGGTTGCTTACACGTATCTAAAGAATACAATAGGCAAAGATAAATATAAATCTTACAATTATCTAAATACAATAAAATCATATTTTCTGATTATCCTGAAAAGATTTCTCAGGTAGGTCTCTCTCTCTCTATAATAACATTATATATGAAACATTATATCGAATATATACAAAAATATAGTTTTCTTTAAATAATCTTACAATATATTTATTTATTTATTATTTTCTTTATCTGGAATTATCTATCGACTGGTTTTATGGTTCTCACTGTGCATAAATTTGCTTATAATTAGAAATAGAATTATTTGAAATAAGAGTATCCCTTTTCTTTCTTTATTTATTCTTCTAATTTAGACTGACACCGACTTACATGATAATAATAGGATTATTGGAAATAAATTCGATGTGGTACAGTAAAACTTCCTTGTTCTACATGACCGAACGTCCACACGAAACTTGTCGAAAATATTGGTGGAGAAATCTTCTTTATATTCAGAATCTTTTTAACAGCCAAGAAATGGTACGGACACCCATACTTTTTTGCCAATTACAAAAAATAATATTATCGTAATACTATGATTAATAATATTGCTCTTTGCAGTGTATGAGTTGGAGTTGGTACTTGGCGGACGATATGCAATTCTTTGTGATTATTTCTTTCCTTTTATTATTATCTTCCATGTAATTTCCATTATGAAACAAACATTTTATATAATGAATATGTTAAACGTATTTTTTAAAGTAAATCATTCTAATTGATGAAATCAAATTTGATTCCAGGTACTTCAAAGTAGCAGCCAGTTTATTCAGTTTATTGTTTATCTCATCGATCATCCTAACAGGCTATATAACCTACATTAATGATTATATTCCTACGTAATTATCAATATTAATGATTATTATACATATAAAAACATTAAATCCTTCCGTTACTAAGGATCGATTTTATGGAACGATACTCGGATCAAATCCTTCATTTTATAGATTGGACAAACAATATAATTTCTTGGACAAGATATACATTCCTCCATGGATTAGAATAGGACCTTATCTTGTGGGAGTGATCACTGGGTATATACTTGTCAAATTAAAGAACAAATTAATTTTTGGAAAGGTATAAAATATTCTTGAATTTACCTCGCTTACTAATACTTCATGATGTAATCCATTTTCTTCGTAATGTTGATGATTGATTTTAGAAAACATTAATATTCTTCTGGATAGTCAGCAGTTCTTGCAGCTTATTAGCACTCTTTGGAATATATCGGAGAAGGGTATCAATCTTAGCTTCTGTGTTTTACATTGCACTTGGTAAAATTGCTTGGGCAATTGGCATCGCATGGATCGTAATAGCCTGTTGTACAAATAACGGAGGTACAAACAAAAATCTAATTCGATTCTTTAGTTCAATATTATTATTATTATTATATAATTATATAATAATCTTTTCTTAGGTATATTGAATCGTATTCTTTCGTTCAAAGTTTGGATCCCATTAAGTAGATTGACTTACATAGTCTATTTGATAAATCCAATTCTTATAACTTCTATACAATCATTCAGTGAAACTCCCAGTCACATTGATTTTCTACAAAACGTTTGTATCCTTTTTTATTTTTATTATACCGATAAATTAATATTGAATGTAATTAACTATAATCATTTTTTTTTGTTTCATTTCTCAGGGATTGTCATTTCTAGGATATATCATGGTAAATTTCATATGTTCTTATTTATTATCGTTGATGTTCGAAACACCTTACTTGCTTTTGGTAAAGGAAGGGATGAAATACTTGAATATAAAAACATAATTCCTTTTTCCCCTTTTTATGGAATATTTTTGTTGACAACAATGACATAGCAACTATTCTTCTTCGATGTTTTAATTAATTTATTGAAAAATGTATACGTTCTTTGTGTTTATTTGTTTGTTTTTATCTTATTAATGATAACGATCTAACGATCGATCGTTCAAAAGATTCAACTTTCTTCACTCGCTTACAAATATCTATGAATATTATACATATATATATATATATTATATTTATATAATATATATATATATTTATTTATTTTCTTTTGACAATTTATAAATTTCTTTTATCAAGAGGCATTAATTTTGTACAACAGTGAAGCAAGTTCATCAGTAAAAATATCTTGTATACACCGACTTAAAAAGAGACAATAAGCGTAGGGAGGACATTTACAAAACTACAGATCGTTAATCGTGTAAAACATTTTCGCCGTGCTATGAGTGAACCGGGGAATGTATCCTAGGTGGTGCAGGCGAGGTCAGAGATCGATTAGCTCGAGATGCTTGTTCGCGTCGACCTTCTTCCAGTTGTTTCTCAAGTTGTTCTTTCAAGACTAGAAGTTCTCTTGTTCGTTGATAAACAGGGTCCTGAAATGATAATATTGTTAATAAAAAGAAAAAGAAAGATTTATTCGATGTGATTTGATCAATAAACAAACCTGCTGTCTCATAATGGGATTCCACCTACAATAAAGACCTTTCCACGGTTTGATGTACCTCATACTTGCAACTGGCATTAGAACTAATTGATTATGTGGTCCAGCCCAGTACAAAGGGTTTTGATATAAGGATAATTGACTATTAGTGTAGGACCATAACGAGACGGTTCTTTGTTTTATCTGTTCTTGTACTCTCTCGCGTTCACTTAAAACAAAAGAACGAATAAATAAAAGCGATGATTTAAGTGCAATTATATATATATATATATATATATATATATATATACATACCTGCTGAATAAAAACGTGCCAAATCTGCAAGAGTAAAGATGGTCAAGTATAGTGATTAAAAAGTGCTCGTTGAACTCAAACGCATTAGCAAATTGTCGCGTTATTTGCCAAACGCAATCCATAAATTGTAAAAATACTGGAGAACGATCAGCATCGCTATGATGTTCATCGCCATGACCAATCCTCTGTAAAAAATGTATTTTAAGATTCCGCAAGGATAATTATTACCTAATCAATCATTATGTAAATATGAACCTGCTGAAATTTATGACCAAAACTAAGCCATTCCTTTTCTATAAGAACTTCGAATCCTTTAATTGTCCTGTAATATGGGTCCAACATCAACATGGCAAGAGCTGTTAGCTATAACACATAAATCATATTTCATATTTCAAGTTTTATTATGATAATATAATCATTTAGATATTATATTGTTACTACTTGTGCTGTTCGATCCCATCCATCAGAGCAGTGTACGAGTACGGAAGTCTTATGATTTTCTACTTTATCCACAATTCTAACCGCTCCAGCGAGAACACATTTAATATGTTTAAGCCACATGGTGGATTCTATGCCAGATAACCATTTAGCTTCATCGATCGTGGGAAAACATAATTCTACGAGATATAAAACGTATATATTATAATTAAAGTCCGAATTATTTTGTAATACAGACATTCTAAAGATAAATAAACCTTTATATGTTATATTATTAATAATACCTTTTAATTTTCTTAGACTTTCTCTCATAACGTGAATATTATGAATATCAAGAAAAACAAGCTCAGCGTTTTGATAAGCATCCTCACTTTCGTAACCACCACCTTTCGCTTTATTCGCTATTGCATTAGGCATTGGTCGAGCATCCATTATAAATAGTTTATGGCTTTGTGCATTGGCATCCATTATCAACTGCACGTACCTCTCATCCTCACGACTTCTTTTACCTCCAACACCTACTAACGGCTGTGCGCAACGTGTTATCGTCGCTTGACTTTCTGGATGAATCCAGGAAAGTACTGGTAATCTTCCTCTACTTCTAAATGCTGCAGATGCTTGTAAATCTTCATCCGTTGCAGCTGCGGGTACTGCCCAAACTGCTGGATAACTATCGGCTAATGTATATGTGTCATTAATCTTAGATATTTTCCACATGTCATTATTTACACCCTATAATTAAATGTTAAACAAATCCTATGAGATTGTAATTCAACGTTTACGTAGATGTTTTAGAAATGTGCAAGTTTCTTACCATTCGTTTTAATTCGGCTATGGGTTCGTAAACGTTCCATCCATTTTCAGGAAACGTTTCGGAATATTCAAACGCAAATAACGGCAATTTATGCGACAACGGGAACGAATATTGTTGTAGTTTTTCAAAGACATCTCTTCTAGAATGATTTTCCTGCTTATGAGCAAATCGAAGATTTCTCATGTCTTTACAAAACACTTCGATACCGTAGGAATTTTCTCCTCTGCTAGACGCGCCGCCAACCTTTTCAATTCTACTAACAACTCCCAAGGGCACTTCCACGACATAAGACGTTTCACGGTCTACACTACGAAAATGGAGTTTATAATTTGTAACACTAAGAATTCCTCTAGCTGGACCCGAATAAGGACACAAGTAGGTCACTTCATGAGCAATGCCTTGAACTCGTTCTCCATTTAAAAGCGGAGGACCTGTATCATTTCCTGATAGATTCTGTTGAAAATAATTCCATGATAAATTGGATCGAAAAGAAACATTTAAATATACATTTAATACGATACATAAGGGTTTCTATCAACGAACACATTATTCTACCAAAAATGTATGATAAAAAGTAAAAGTGAAGGAGGATGATTATCTTTTTTCTTTTTAACATTTATACATCGGGATTATATTTCGGATGAAACTTAAATGTAGCAACAGCAGTTCATAACAAACAGAAATATAAAAATGAGAAATTAAAAACAAACGTTCCAACTAAGACCACTTGTTTGTTTAATCCAATAAGACTCACTTTTACTTGATTGTCTTTTTTTGCCTCCAAAGCGGAAACAATATTATTATCTGTAGAAGTGGAACTCGAAGAAAAGCTTTTCGAATGAGATGCTTTTTCCCAACTCTCCTAAGAAATCGAGTTAAGAGACGCAGCATGAAATCAATTTGTTGAATTAGAACAAATTATGCGTACGTATGGAAAATGCTTGTCATGTTTTTTTTTCTTTTTAACTACTGAATAATCTTAGATGTAATACCGATTCTTGACCCATCTTTGAATTGAGTGAACTGCTTTTGCTGTCTGAATTAAGGGAATCTGAACTGGCATTTTTTGAGTTGTTTTTCTCTACATTCAGGAGTTCAGCACTGCCTCTCTTCTCCATGCTTGTTGTACGTGTTCTTCTTGTTTCTTCTACTCCTGTTGCAATGACATTTTTTTATTTTCAAACTGACTTCTTCCGCATTGATTTGCTCTATCGCTTCTTTTTTGAACCTACAAATGTAAAATATATATATGTATATATACGTATAACTATGTACAAATATACACAACAAGCGAATATGAACTAGTGATATTTTCTTTCGGTTAACCTCAAAATTCTTAAGTAGTATATTAAATATTGGAAATAACAATGAAAAATAGATGTCTATAAGTTAATTCCATGCTTGTAGAGATATTCTTCATTCAAATAGTCAATGCAACAACAAAAAAGATGAAAAACAAGTTCAAAGTAGTTGATTTCTAATATTATGAAACCACGCCCCAAAATATTCGAAATGACCTTCGAATGCTTTATAAAAAATGTTAACTTTAATTATATTATTAATTCATATGAATAAATAATCACTAACCTCTATTTCTCGAAATGTTTCGAATTATTTGAAAACGTTAAGTTCTGTCACGATATACTTCGCGTTTGACAGTAGCGGCCATCTTGCGGTTATAATACGTCCGGTTAGCGCCACGTTCGAATCTTCCAATCATCGTCGCGTATGGACATATTTGAAATTTACATTTTTTAAATCGTATACTTTTCATATTTTAGTTCAGTATAATCAAATCAAATTAAATAAACAAATATTTCATACACAGATTTCAATTATTTTTCGTATTTTCGACGATTGAAAAGGAAAGATGTGGAATAAAAATGTTTTAAAGATTCATCAAAATACATCTCAATATTAAATCGGATTAGGTCATTCTGGAATGATTATTTTCAACGTTATAGCAAAACTGCTTGAAAATATATATCTACACATATTAAATAAATACGATTAGTTTCGTATCGTAAGAGTTCTGGGACACCATAAATCCTATTAGTATGTTAATAAATCGGATTATGACATGACTATTTTTCTTCCACAACGCATCATTAGTTATCACCAACTATAAATAACTTGTTCTTGAAAAGAAAAATTATTAAATTTAATTAAAAAAAAAAAAAAAAAAACGTCTAAACGTTTTCGTTATCCAAAAACAGAACACGTCGTTTAACTAGAGTATACAAGAAAATGATTATTTATCTTTTACTATAAAATAGTCGGGGTGAAATAATGAATTTTATTTTGTAAAAAAAAGTTGTTCAACAGAACAAAACGTATAATCACAATTTGACAGTGATGTAGCGATTTCGATTAAAATTGTTTTTGCGTGTTGTTTTTATGTATACGTGGTGTGTATATGCGTATATGTATGTATGTATTTAAATATGTTCTTGATTTCTCTACAGTATATATAGAGCGTATTTTAACATGAAATATAAAACTCTCATCATCAACTATATATATCGTTAACTTTGAACATGGTCAACATATAAATATACAGTCATCACGTTTAAGTTAAATATATAGATATGAATATATATGTATGTACATATATACCCATACAAGTATATGTATTTATGTATATTATATACACGTATGTATAATTATTTTTATAATATAATACGTTTTCTTGCTCTCTCTCTCTCTCTCTCTCTCTCTTTCTTTTTTCCTTTGTGTCATACAATCGTTTTCATAATATATCCCTTTTATGTTGCTCGCATACGTATACTCACACAGACTCATTTCTTTTTAATCATATACGCAGACGTACAACACACATGTATATGTATACGTATAACATGTATATTATGTATATCTCAAGGATCGCTACTACATTAATACAAAAAAAGGCTTCGCTTTTCTCGAAAAATCTGTTTTTTTTTTCTTTTTTTTTTTCTTTTTAATATAATAGATTTTTTCTTTTCGTTTTTTTCGTAAGAACAACAGGTATTCCATCGATTAGAAAAAAGGACAATAAAAGTAACGGACGACAATTTTTTTATCGTACGCACATCGAAAAATTCATTTTTTTGGTTTTTTTTTTCAAATTTTCTCATCTTTTCTTTTTCCGTTATAGTTAGTTTAATTAATAATTTTATACACAATCACGAAGTAGAAGAGTATTTCGTTTTCACGTAGAAAGATTAATTTTTCTTTTTTATCTCTGTTCCCGCGCGATTTTCCTCTAAATGATTTTACGTAGAGCATTCTTTTTGGCACTTTATGTATAAGAAAGAAATCCATTTGATTATACTTGATGCGAATTTTCGTACGTATGATGTTTCCTTCCTGATTACTTTGGTTTTGTTTCTTTCAATCGTCAATTCAATCACGTTTTGAATCCTTAGGCCACTACCAGCTTCCTTCTTCCTCTCCTCTGCCATCATTTTTCTTCTCTTTACATCTTGAGAAAAGTTCTTATCGACAGCACACAAGCACCTACTATAAAGCACAAGAAGTTGAAGAACGCGAGCTGAGGATTGGGAATATTTGAGAGAAGAAGACCCATTTAGAAGGATATTTCTTTTTTCATTCCGTGCCTTCTATCTCTATAGTTCTCTCTGTTTCACTAGCTCTGTTTTTCACAAGAAGTAATTCCTGTGAATCGTGTTCAGTCTTATCTCGTCGTCCGTGCCAATCCTGGTCACGTCATTTGGGCGGCATTGAAGCCTCGTTTTCTCTGTACCGAGAAATGTTGGGGACTACCAATTTGAAATTGTTGAACGAACGGATTGTTTCTGAGTACGTTGCCACCTGGTGACTCAGCCGAGTATTGAGACGATGGAACGATTATGCCAGTTTGTTGAAGATATTGTTCGCGATAGAGAGCCTGTTGTGTTACGTACTCCCCGTTTACCGGATTCTGTGATCCGTAATGAAGTTTGCTCGTTGTTTTACTTGGTATTTGATTAGCATTGCATTCCTTGAAACTATCCTGATAGCGAAAATTAGTTGGGGAACTTCCCGGTGGCGTGACATTCTTCAAACTTTGCGTTGGACTCTGCGTTATGGATTCTAAGACGTGTCTTGGCATGTTTGGCGAAGGACAATGGGTCTCTTGAAGACCATCAACTCGATTGGCGTTTCTCATAAAAATTGGTGCACTCTCTGGTCTACCACCAACGATGTTTCGCATACCCTCGCGATCCTTAGCACTGAGACTTTGTCTCGAAGTACTCAAAGCTGGATTACGATTCTTTTGATTGGACAATGATGGTTGGTTCAGATCCGACACGCTAGACGACCACGTTACGCTGGCTAACTCCCATCGACGTAAAAGATTCGATACGTGTTCGGCCCTGTTTGTTGAGTCGAGAGCTTCGTCGTAGTCAGGACCCTGAAAATAACAAAAATAAAATAAAACTAAGTCGGTCAAAATAAAAGAACAATTCGAATAAATTCACTTGGCATTCATAGCTGCTTATTTTATTGATAGACTACGAAGATTTGCATACTATTAGATTGTGATCATCCTTTTTCTATTGGATTAAGCGAAGGGTAAATTAATGGCACGAAAAAGACGAACGAGCTGCCGCATGAATGAACGTTATATTGCGACAAGGCTAAATGAAGGTTCCTCGTGTTAGAAACAAACCTCCTCGAGGAGACCACTACCATTTTCTCGCATGGTCTGACTCTAATATAATATAATGCTCACACCAAAATTATATTAACGTTGACGCGTTACACGAACAAAAATTAAATATAAAACAATGTAACTTACATTTTCAATTTTTTCGTCAAGCATCTTGAAGAAATCCAATTGACTGGTAGATATCTCTCTGAAAAGAAAAATAAATCATTAGATATATAGCAATGATCCATCATTTTAAAAAGCAAAATGACTATTTAATAATAGGTATGATGAAAACTCACGCTTGTTGTAGCAGTGGTCCATTTCCAGCCGCGTTCGGTTTCTTCTTAGTTTGATTTTTAACATCGCTCGAACCATTTTGTTCTTCGTTTCTATTGACCTCGACGCCATTGTTATTAGTTTTGTTTCCTTTGGCATTGCCATTGCCGCCGTTCTTTGGTTCGACAGACGAGCTGCCTGTAAAAATAAAAATGATTTCATTATAAATCATGAAATTCATCATATTTATTTGTTATAAATAAAACAAAAATCACAAAGACAAATTCTCAAGCACGCTCAATGATTATTACTATCATTGACAAATAACTCAGTTAACATTTAGTGGACTTTTGTATGATTTTCTTTCGGGCTTTTTTTTATACACGTATTATTTTCCTTTGAAATTTGTTGCTTTTCCTCATTATTTAAACGTTAAACTAACTAACATATGTCGACAAGCGAACAGTACAAAGTTCAAGAATGCAACTGGTAAACAAGTTTAATCTTATCGTTTAAGAAGAGATTTGCAATATGAGGCAATTAAAGGAAGATGAGAGAAAAATTCGTGACATTTTACTCGATCAAAAATAGATTCTCCCTATCAAAAACAAGTCGATAAAAATCCTTTCTAACTTATTCATAAAATATTGTTTATCAGACGTGTTGAAATATTAGTGTACACGTAGGCGTTGATTTTCAACTAAAAAATATATATGAATTTTTCAAACTTTAATACACAGTATGTCATATAAAAAAAGAATGTGCTCTCTCTCTCTCTCTCTCTCTCTCTCTCTCTCTCTTTTGCGTTGTATAAAGTTTCTCGTTGTGATAGCATGCACGTGGTCCATTCATTGGCACGCCAAGCAAGAACAGAAGGAGAATGAACTCGTATTACAATGGAACGTAAATAAACCTGACAACGTATATACGTTCTACGGTATGTCCTAAGTTTCTTAATCTTATTTTACAATTAGACGAAATTACGAAATAATTCAAGTTCAATATTTTCATTTAAATTGGAAAAAAAAACAAAAGAAAAAAAACCACAAATATAATATATCCAGATCCAGAATTATTCCCAAAGTTTTGTCATATTCCCATAATTAATTTTACAAAATACAAAATATAAAATATATTTACTTTTAAAACTTGAAATAATTAATTTTTAACGCGTAAATTTATATAACAAGAAAGAGGTCGAAGGAGAAGRAGAAGAACACATTTTTACCACCATTTATTTATCGAAATGCAGATAAGAATGCAGCTGTCATTGGTAACGATACCAAAGTCTATTGTAAAAGATGCAAAAACCGTATTATTATTTATCTTTGTTCTTTTAAAAATGACAAAAAGAAAGAAAAACGATCAATTGTTATCTTAAATAATTGTTCGCAAAGTCTTCCGTTATATAACGAATGTATAAAACGACGAACAAACAAAAAATAATACGTCGTAAAAAAAAAAAAAATAAAATATTTTTCAATCAGACGTTATTACAAAAAAATAAAATACGATGATACCATTGCGATAATATTATAAATTATTGACTCGAATGAATTTATTATCATTAATTTCTTTAAAATGTTGAACTTTTAAAAAATATTATTTTTATTTTTGGATGCTTTTATTAAAGAAATTTCACAAGCTCCACACGTTTTTAATATCGTTCGATATCTAATCTCTTCTAATGAACTTCTATTGAATGAAATTAATTCTATACATCATCATGGATTTAACGATTATTTAAATACGTGCTATCCATACATGCATATGTAGAATTCAGATATATACATTGTATTTATAATATATGTGCTTATTTACGAAGGCGCCATTATTTGCGTAAACATGTTTAGACAGCTATATTTAGCGGAACAAACATATTACGATTATTATATAGCATCGTATCACATACACACATAGTTGATAATGCAATTATTACAAGGAAACATATTTATTCAATTTCAATAAATAAAAATGAAAGTAAAAAGAAAGGATGTATATTAAAATCGCGAATGTTTATTTTTGATCGGAAATTTGGCGATATAAACAACAACATTCATATTAATTTTACATTTTGTATTTTATAGCAATCGTAATTGATCAATCGATTAAATATTTAATAATTAATTTGTATTTGTTTAATATCAATAAAAATGACGTACAAGCGGATATGAACGTACGTTTTCCCATCTGATTGTTAGATTCGTCACTAACATAGTGAAATATAAAGTGAATCTGAATGAAATCATGGAAGCGCGTAACGAGTATGGAAATCTAATCGATCGATCATGATACGAGAACGAAACGGCCACTGATTTCGTTAGATTCAATATCGGCATTTCAATTTCAATTAACGCAACTGAACAAAAAACTTTCCTAAAATTGTATTTCGTATTTGCGACAATGGACTTTCCACTTCCTAATGCCAATTAATAATAATATTAATAATAAAATTGTATTTTTACGATTAAAGGGACACGTCAACAAAAAAATCGATTTTTTTTCGATTTTCTGAAAGAATATTATTTCAAAAATATTTCTTCAAATTTTGGTAAAGATCCGCCCATTATTTACGAAACTGTAGTAGTTTAAACTGAGCGCGCCGTAGCGCTCCAAGTAAGTGTCCCAAACTTTAAACGTTAATTTTTCCTATTCGCGTTTTTAAAACGGTTGCCCTCGCTGCGTCCAGACCATTTATCCGATCCTTACCAAATTTTGTACAGTAATACTAGATACACGTATTTAGGGAATGAACGAAAGGATTTTTCGAAAAAACATGCCAATTTTTTTTTCTTTTCTCAAAAACTCGGCGATTTTTCTGCAAAAATGTCAATTTTTTCGTAAAAAGTCGAGTATTTTGAAAAAAATTAAAAAATCAAAATTTCCTTTCGTTCATTCCTTGCGCCAACATCTCTACTAAAGGATAACACTCGGTTTTTATGTTTCAGATGAACCAATTTTTGCCAGTGAGGGCAACCGAAAATCACCGTTCTTTTTTGGACTCTTAGAAAAGTGGCCACAGACAACACAATTTACAATATTTTTACACATAAAAAATTGTGAATATAGTTCAGATATATAACTTACATATGCCAAAAATTTGTATTGATATTAATAAAACTGGCTGCAAAAAAAAATTCACAAAAAAACCGCTTTTTTTTTGCACTCGAAGGTGACGTGTCCCGTTAATGGAGAAAAAATAAAAATTGGGTTGAGTGTGTGTGTTTTTAATCCAGAAACTTTTTTTTTTGGTATCTAGTATCATCTCTCATTTTCATCGAAAATAAATATAAATTGTTGGAATTGTTATTGACCACACCTACTCAATGCACAACTCCCATTATTCAATTATAGATTTACAAGTGTCGTAACAAAACCAGGAATTGGTATCCAAGTTTTAAAACGAAACGTGAATTCTGTCTCCTTATCTCGTGTATTTAAAATAAATTTTATTTAAAAAAAAAAAAAAAAGTGTAAAAGAAAAAAAAAGTATTTACAACAAAGTTACCTAACTTGCTCTGATCTCTTCTACTTAATTAAACTACGCCCTTGACTCGTGCGTACTTTACGAACAAAGGCATTACAAGGGATTCGAATAACACAACTTATGCTTCTCCTGTCATGTCAGCAAAAACAATTTTCATCGAGTCAAAAGTTTCTTTGATGATTCAATAACTGCATTTTCTGATTTCCTCGATGAAAACTAACAAAAAAAAAAAAAAATAAAAAAAAAATAAAAAAAAACCTTCACTCGATATTCTCGATATTCTCAATATTTTAATCAAATATTTTGTTCTCTTATGACAGAATTTAAATATGCTTTTTATTTTGACGATATCGTTGAACGTTCTCCGACTTGCCATGAATCTGTCAAACTATCGCAAATCATTTTAATTTGTAAACGAATAAGAACTAATACTACTAATACTCGAAACAAATATTATCGACCATTAGCAACAGGTGAAAAACGTTTGTTGGATAATATCTTTAAGACCAGATTAAAATTCATTTTTGTTCAATAACATTGACATTTTTCCTCGACTTTTCACACATATGCATACGTGCATATATTTTACATTGAACAGTTCTTATCTATCCTTACGTGGAAACGTCACATACACACACACATAAATTCAGTTTATATTAGGTATCTTGATATCATATAAACGCATTAGTTGCAAATCTAAAGATAACAGAAATCGCATATTCAATATGCCTTTCTCCTTATTTTTCTTTTATATTCAGTTTTGATCGTTTTCACGATTAACTCGTGATAAGCTTCAATATGATTTTATTTAATTCGATATATCAAGTATTATCTTGGTGTAATCAATTTATTACCTTATCAAAATGTTACGTTGATTCATTGAAAAGTTTTCAATCTCAACTAACAAAACTTGTATTTCTTTTTTCAAATAACTATTGCAATTATTTGATTGAAGAAAATAAATTGTTTCTATGCTAAGAGATTCAAATTTTTTAAATCTTTCATTCTAATATTATTTCCATTGGTCAATTGTATACAATTTTATTCATTCTACAAATATTTCTACTATTTTCTATATTATATCTAAACTTTCTATTACATTCTATTAGATTCTAATAAAACTGATCTCTTCTTTCGAAAAGAAAAGAAAAAGAAAAAAAAGAAATAATAAAATATTCGTCCAACATTCGAAATAAAAAATTGGATTAATATCTGAAAATATATATGAAGAAAAATTCGATCTATTCAAATATACAGATAAATAAAATGAAATGTACAAAAAATTAAGAGTATTTAGAATTTCATTCATTCCCATTGGTTTTTGATAGTACTTTTCACTCTTTGGCATCATGCCGAAGGTCAACGTATACGTACTTACAAACGTATTTAAAATACATATACATTTATAAATATATCCATTTACATATAAGCATATAAATGTATATATATGTATCGTCCATATGCATACATACATAAGCACATGATTTGTAAATTCTTACTAACGCCTACACAGTATGAATGCCAACATTTCATCGTAGAACTCGAATCATTTTACTAAAAGTTACATACCAATAATTTTATTTTATAAAAATCATTTTCTTCCAAATAATTTACTATTAATCATTAGATATTATAGTGTGATCTCTGTTTATATATTAACCCACGAGATGAAATTAATTCAAGGTCAAAATCATGATAAGATATAATATAT